CTCATGCTCATCTAGCTATTGCCCAACATGACTAAATATTAGCTTATACAAACTCAAAGAATCCATTACATAATGTGTTTAAGTTCTAAAAAATAAAAATCTAAGTACAATTAAAAAAAAAAAGAGAAGAAATCATATCATTTGGGCCTAAACATTTAAGAGAAGTTTTCTACCCCTCGTCCGATTAAGAAAAACTTGGAGAGGAGCTAGGGCGTGCTCAAGAATCGATTTCTCTCCATATTAATTCATCCATATCAAAATGGATGTCAAAGTATTTGCTCAAAAAATAGCATTCAAAACCCAAGCAGCTTTGAGACTAACCCATATATCGTTGGGCTTAAGAATCTTAAACGATGATATCATTACTATTCACTACAAAAAAAAAGGCTAAATAGCGATAGAAATCAGTGATAGACATGAAGTTATTAGCATATAGTGATGGATTAGGGAAGAATTAATGACTATTATAAAGTTTTTAATATTTTGCGTTAATAGTGATGGAATATTGATGAATTAACGATGGAATTTCAATAACGTAACACTATCATTGTTGAATTACATGTAAATTTTTAGCAATTATGACCACAATAAAATTCCAATTGAGTTGCAAGGGGTTTTAGTGATAGATGATGTTTGCAATCGTTAATTTTAGGCGGGATATGAGGAGATGATTTAACGATAGATTTTAGAGACGAATGATGTTTTATGTTGCTAATTAAGAGCAAAATGGCCAAATTTAAAAAACCAAATAGAGACAGAAACTTATCTTTAGTAATGAAATTGAATCGTCACTAAAAAGTGAAAAAATAGGATGATATTTTTCGTAGCTAATTTTGGGATTTTAGCAATGGATGATGTTGTTCATTGCTAATTAAGAGAAAAAAATGGCCTATTTTCAAATTAAATAGTGACAAACACTTATTTTTTACCAACGAACATGAGTTCGTCTCTAAAACCCATCCATATTCTCTTCTTCAATTTTCTTCTCCTCCTTCACTCTAGTCGCTCCTTGCCCTTTTCCTTCTTCCTTCAACAACCTCCTTCATCGCTTATACACCTCTTTGTCCTTCACCTTCGTTTTTCGACCTTCTCTCATCCTCTATAATAAATGTGTATGTGTGTGTGTGTGTGTGTGTGTTTTTTTTTAACTTATTCAATAATAACTAATGTTTTGTTTTTGTATTTTTTGAGTGAATCTCTAACGACTTGTTTTTTTTTTTTTTTGGCGCCTCCTCCTTCTAGGTACTTTTTTAGTTTATTTATTTATTTTTTAATTTTTAGTTAATAATATTTATTATTATAGTTTTTAATAGTAATTATTTGTAGTTTAATGTATGTTATTTGATGTTAATTAGTTGTAAATCTAATTATTATTGTCATTGAGTTGTGCTAATATAAGTTAATTTATGTTATGTAATTAGTCGAGATTTTTTTGTATTCTTTTTAATAATAGTTTTACATTTATGTTATTTGTATTTCTATTAGTTATTATTTTTTCATATACTTACTTAAGTCAATTAGTAGTAAATGTAATAATTTAATTGTAATTAATATTTTTTTTAGTTGTTAATTGATTAGGATTATTAATTTTATTACTTTTTTCTTAAGAAGAAAAATAATTGTTATATTATTTTTTTTGGGATTAATTAATTAGTATGACATATTTAATTTATTATTTTTATTTTGTAGCATCGATATCCAAACTGTAAAACTTTGGACACCACAATCTTCTCTTCGATAATACTTCTATCGATCAAGTTTTTTTTTTTTTTTTAGTTAATATCTTATTGTATTTTATGTGATCTAAGTATAGTTGTATTCAAATGTTATATTTGAAGATTTTTGAAGTGTTTGGTCACCGATTAGGGCGACACCCCAAGGATATGATGTCATAAAGGGATTTGTTGAGAAGATATGGGTTCGGCGTCAATGCTCCACGATGGAGCCGGGAGGACGAGAATAACGCTATCTTTTTTATTTCTTTATCCAGGACAAATGTCGATCCTAGAGCAATATAATTGATTGTTTGCATATGTTTTTTTATGAATTGTTTGTTGTACCTCGTCAAATGGTAATTTAGAATATATTAGATTCACTTGCGTGTTTATATTACTAGTCGAGAACCCTAATAAAGGGACTATGGTGCATTTTTTATGTATTTTGGATTTTTTGTTGAAATGGTGGAGTCTTCGATAATTGAAAAATATTCAATTTATAAAAGAGACTCGCCAAATTTTTGTTAGATTTTTTAAAAAATATATAAAACTTTCAAATATGTCATTTGCACAATTAAGAAATATGGTAATTAAGTAATTATGTAATGGCTTGCATATGTAGAAGGAAAACATGAGGTCGGATCATGCATGCATGAATGGACTTTAGACAAATGTAGATGATACAACAATCGTTATGGGAGATGCAACCCGCATTGACTAGCCCCTCCCTCTTCCTTACCTTCCCACTACCTAGCAACCGTAGGATGATGATGATGATTGTATAGACTAGCTATTTTGTAGCATTTTTTATTATTTTTGTACATTAGAACACATTTACATATTTTGATTTAATTTTATATTATTTTGATTTAACAAAATAATATTTCATATTACCATTTCTTTTTAGTTGTTTGCTACTATAATTAAAAATTAAACAACTAATAATGATTTAAAAAATATTTATGTTAGTGATGGATTAATGACCAAATAATGACAGAATAAATCAATATACACGCCTTTTAGCGATGGATTAGCGATGAAACTTTATCGACGAGTTAATCAATGATGAAAATTTCATCACATTAATGATAGGTGGACATTGATATAGCAATAAATTTTCATTGCTAATTTCCTCAAATTAGCAAAACTTTAACCATTGCTAAATTAGTGATGGACTAAATTTTCTTTCGCTAAGAATTTAGCAATGAATTTTTTTGTCACCAATCCGTTGCTAAATGAAATTAACAACAAGCATACATTGTCTTAGCAACAAATTTTTTTGTCTCTAATTAGCCCTTTTTTTGTGATTACTAAGCTTGATGCATCTTTGCTTTAGGGCTACTTTCTTATCAAGTAAGTTTTCTTATATACTAGGTAATTTTTTTTTAACAAATTCGATTACCATAAAAGTTAATGGTCATGACATAACTTGACAATTCAATACACTTAGCATTTTTTTTTTTTTTTACAAATCTATTAACCAAATAAAAAAAAATGATGGCCATAACATGGCAACGTGCTTGCCATGAAAAAGGACCAATGGCAATGCATCTACCAAAGGAAAAGATCGATAGATGGCAAGCATTTGGCATGGCCAAAGATTGACAAGTGGTAGCATGCCTATCATGACAAAAGACTAGCGAGGTGGAGGGCAAGTGCAATGATAGAAGATGTGCGAGTAGTAGGCGTCTGCTATGGCCAAGAACTTGTAGTTGACAACGCGTTTGTCATGATAAAAGACTAGAATATGGTATAAAAAAAATAGAATGGTTATGCTAGTTTAGAATGGGTAGGGAATGACCAAAATGGAATGGTAAGACCAAAATGATGTGGCTAAGTAGGGAATAAAATGGAATGGTAAGAATAAATTTATGTGTTTAGATAAAGATCAAAGTACAAGTGGCAATGCCTATTAGTTATGGCTCCACAAGGACTAAAATGGAATGGTTGGGCCAAATTAGTGCGGTTGGGCATATATCAAAATGGAATTTTATGTCCAAATTAGGCTTAGGCAAAGACTAATATAGAGTAGCAAGGTCAAATTTGAGTGGTTATGTAAGGACTAAAATGGACCGGCTTGGCCAAATTGATATGGTTGAGGAAGGATCATAAGACAAGGAGAGGGGCTACCATTATGAAAAAAAACGAAAAAAACGAAAAAAAAAAAAAAACAATATTTGGGGTTGTTTCTTGCTAGCGTGTATGATTAGCATTAATTGTTGGTCAACATGACCAACAATTGCTAGTTTGCACCGGCTAGCCCATCTTTTGGGTGAAAAAAGAAATAAGAGAAGAAAAAGAAAATTACCTCTTATTTCCTCATGTGTTAGGGTGATTTTTTATTCTTTTTTCAAGAATCCTAAGGTATGGACTTTTTCAACTTTTTGAACCAACCAACTAGCTTTTTTTTTTTTTTTTATGGCATGGGTCCAAAATGCATAAGAAATGGATTGGATCCATTATGAGCTCCATCGATATAATGTTTTAGACTGCGCAAGGAAGAACATATGTATTTTTATGAGATTAGTATTCATGTCTTATCTTTGATATGCATTAAAAAGATTAACTTTGTACACTCGCAGCAAGATCCGTTAAAGAAATATCTAATTGTTAATTTTTTTAATATTTACTAGTAATTTGAAATAGTTTAACTTAAAAAAAAAACTTAATTTTCTTAAATTTAAATTTGTTTGTCCAAATATAGATGAAGTGACACAATCCTAAAATCTAGGATCTTTATTTCACAATAAATATCATTTTCTCAGCAATTGTGAAGGGATTATCTTTATTAAAACCTTTAAACTCTCTCTTCTCTCAAAATTCTCTTACTCACACATCAAATATCACTTAAAATTCTATTTATTTGAACTACAACCACTCACATATCCGTGATTCAGCTTACACTTTGCTAGCATTACATACTCGAACTCCTACATTTTTCGTTGTTTGTATCCATTATACTGTGTTTATTTGTATCCATTCTACTGTGTTAGTAGTCATTACTTGTAGTATAAGTCATAACAACAGTTCTATATACTTTGACTAGTGTGCTGACCGGTCTTCTTTTCAAGTACTCCCTAGCATAAAAATCAAATTGATAATTCCAGTTAAATTAAATTAATGTTCTTTTTCAATAAAATAAAATAAAATAAAGGTTGTAGGCTACACGTAATTATAATAATAGCAGCAGCAGCAATAACAACACTAAAAAAATATCTTAGGATAATTCAGCGTTCATGAATCTTCAATATATTATAGCATTGAAATCAACAAAGAAAAATGTACTTGACCTCCCCAGCCATAACGTTGCAGCACGAGGACTGGCATGAAAAGGGGGATTCTTTGGTAATCCAATCTTTATCAAAATAATCAATGGACCGTTTATAGGCTGTAAAGGCAAGTCCCTAACCTGGCTGACATTAAAAATAAACTTCATATGGATTATCTGATTCTGACATATAATACTCAACATTTGATTCATAATGTTCAGTTAGCCTGAAAATGAATTTCGATGATGTCTCCATCAGGTTGGACTAGAAGACGATTGCCAGTACGGATTCTAACCTGCTACATGTGCCCTATAACTAGTGTTTTTACGAGTTATATTCCCACTTCCCGCCCACCTCTCTCTACTAATAATAAAAAAGTTCTCCTTCATTATATGTAATTGCTATATTTCATGCGATAATTTACTCGCCTTTATTTAGAAGGGGACTATTGCAACATTTTGCCAAACATAAAGTTTGAGAACCAATCCCATAGAATTTGCATTGAACTCCCGTACTTAATTAGATATTATTTAATAATTAAAAAAAATTATCAGATTTGGTTTCTTTATTATTTAGCTCTTATTGTGATTTGCAAGAAAGTGGATTTCAATCCATTCTGCCTTTTTTCCTTTTAATTCAAACTAGCTAGTGAACAAGTATAAACAAATTTTTGTGTCTTGATATCTATAAGTCCATCTTTTTGCATATTAATTAACTTTACGTTAGCTTTTCTTGTGGTTGTGGGATAAAGTCTGATCCAAGAAACCAATAATAATAATTTCTGGTGAAGTTTGATCATGATGAAGCAAACAAATCATAGCCATTTGACGAAAAAAAAAACACGATACGATCCCTCGATATAATTCAAAGCACCATGCGGCCTTCAACAGAAAACCGGAATTGAAGGACTTACGCCTCTTGCTTGCCTTCAACTATGTCCATTTGACTTTTGGCTGTGATTTCGTTGCCTGACATTAATAACATTCATCATAATCCCAAGTTCTAAAATCTCCCATATTGTATCCTGATGCTCGAAAATCTCATGCCTTTGACAATGACCTGCTATGAAAATAAAGGACGATAATGTTTCGTGTATTAATAAGTTGCCACGTACATTTTTGGTGGGTAGAGAGAGAAAACAGCTAGAATATCCATAATAATTGACGAGAGAGAGAAATAAAAAATTATAAGTATAAAATGAAAAAAAAAAAAATCTCATTTTGAGACCCAGCCTTTGTTTTTTAATTGGTAAATTAAGCTAGGAGTAAATAATTTTACGAATTTAACCTTACATTCATTATATTTAGGTATTTTGTTCCAACTACTCTCAAATATTAACAAGCATAAAAAATTTATTGAAGTTGAAAATATTAGCCACGTAGCACACAATTTTGACTACAATGTTGTGCTCTAATTTTTTTTTAAAATAATTAAATAAAACTGATGTGACATCCATATGTGAGTAATCTTTCACAACTCTACGCAACATATTATAGTTTTTTTTTTTTAAAAAAAAAAAAAGAGAATGTGGGGTTGTGAGAGAGTCACTAGTGAATCCTACATCAAGTTTAGTCATTTTATGCTTCTTTGTTTTTGAAAAAATATATTTTTTTAATTTTTGTTTTCTTATCAAAGTATGACATTTTAGTCATAATTGTATGTCATGCAGCTAATATTTAGCTAATATTTTTACGTCAAAAAGTTTTTTAGATACAACCATAGGGTGAAATTCGTTATATTGTTCATATAAAATTTAATTTGTTGATTTGATAGAAATAAAATCTCTCAAAATAAGATTTTTTCAGATATTTTGATGCAAAAATAAATGAAAGAGGAAAAAGGAAAAAATAAAGTTTGGGAGGTTAAATTTTAACCTCAAAGAAGGCCTATTTTGGAGGTAATAACTACCTTCTTAAAATTTCACCCATACCAAAAAAAATTAAACAACAAGGTTAATTGATATTAGAATTGTGCTATTTTTACATGATTATTTTACATGATTCACTTATCAAAAAGTATCGACCATTGGATGAGTATTCCCGCATTAAATAAGTGGTTTTCATACCTTATAATTTTTTAGAGTTGCTAACTAAATCCACTTATTTAATGTAGAGATATACATCCAATAATTGATTACTTTATTTTATTTTGTTACGGAGATACCCATCAAATAATTGATATTTTTTTGATAAGTGAATTCTATAAGACAATTTGGTAAGAATAGCATTACTCTTGGTGCTAACTTGGAAATGACATAATGAGAGTGAGTTTTTTTTTTTTTTTTTTTTTTTTTTTGGTGACAAACTAATATGGAGACAATACTTGTAAAAGAAAGAAGGAAGGGGAAGGGAGGGGGAATGACCTAGTTTATTTTTATATAATTGGTTATTTTTTATTATAGCTTTATATCTTCACTTGAGCTAATAAAATTGAGTTTTCAATTTATCATTCCGTTAACTTTATATATATATATATAATCAGATCATGCACATGACTTGATATTATACAAAAAAATAACAATGATGATGGAGGTGGGGATATATATATAATCAGTCATGTACATGACTTGATATTATACAAAAAATAGCAATCCTTATGGAGGAGGGGATCACTAGGGAGAGATGGAGAGGGGAGGAGAGAAAAGTTTCAAAGATGCAAAGAGGTATTGTTCCATGTGAAAATATTTTTTAAGAATAAAATTATTTCATTTTTCATGTGTTTACATATAACTAACATGTTCATAGAGCTCATGACCATTTTTTAGTATAATATTAAATCATATACTTGATTGGGTTAGTTAATTTAAACTCGAAAAAGTTAATAGAATGATAAATTGAAAACTTAGTCACTTTATAAGGATAAAATTAGTTCAATTAAGAATATGAGAATAAATTAAAAACTCAACCTATTATATAGAGACGGACTATATTGTTTCCTATCAAAAAGTTCAAATTTAAGCAAAGTTTTAACCTTTGCACCTATTTAATTTAATTTCTTATTCTTTAACATTTGTCAAATTCTTGGAATTTTACGATAATTTTCACATTTATAATAACAATTATTGATGCTTGGCAAATTCACGAAAAATTAATTTATTTCATTGCAGCTTACAAAAGTAGTATCGGTAAGTTTAGGTCGAACGATGAGATCGGATGAACAATTCAATTAACTTTAGAATTAAGGGGATTTGGTTGTATGCCAAAAATCCAAAATCAAAATAAATTAGAATTTAAATGCGAAGAAACTGCTAGTGATAAAACCTTAGTTCAAGGGAAAAGTGCACATTCAATTTACGGATGGATCATAGACAGATCAAATTGCTATTCTCTCATCGAAACTCAACCAAGAATTTTCCGAAAATCGGATAAATCCTAATCTTTCCTATATTAATTAATTCAAGCCCATCATCCAAATTAAATCATTATCATCAATTGATTCGGTATTAAACAATTCTAGTCAATTTGCTAATAACATTATGAATTAGGAAGAAGTTAAAACTAAATAACAATTTTAAGAATGTTAAATCATTTAATTCATTCTTTGTTTCCCTTAGGTAATCTACAAAAATTGGGATCATAATCTTGAAAATCTAATTGCTACTTGTATAAAATGTTGCATAACAATTACAGATTATAAGAGATAATTAGTGATTAATTAAAAGAGACAATTAACTATAGACCTCTTAAACAATCATCTATGTAATCATAAATAATTAAAATCAAAGAAGCTAAATATATTGGAATTAATTAAGAATAATTCAAATATAAAACTTGTATCTCTCAATCGTGGTGCAAATTGAAGTTAATCCCCTTGAACTAAAGAAAATAACTAGCCAAACATAATGCAATGTAAAAACCCAAAATTATAAATGCATGAATGAATGCGTGTGTAATCTCTTTAGATTAACCCAATAATTTATTTATACATGTAAATAGATAAGTATGAAAACTAATAAATCCAGCTTTATAAGCTTCATTCCAAAAAAATTGGGAATTACCGAATGAGACTTTAGATTTTGTATCAAATATTTTAACCTAATTTCGGATAAGATGGTGTCTTGTTTTGGTCTTAAATCTTTCACGAAAGCTATAGATCAGCATGTTTTATTTTTGTAGGATTTTGAATCTTCTCAATCCAATTTCTAAAACTTCAAATATGATCCAAATACTAATTGGTGTTTCCAATTACGATGAGATCCGATTTTTTGACTTGACTTTATAATTGACTTTGATAACCCAAAACAACTTGGATTTATATATTTAAACCCAAATTGAAAATTCTAAGATGTCCACTTCAAATCTCAAGAAGGCCTTTTTCATGCTTTAGAGTTGCAAGAATGTGAAATTTCTATATCTTCCTTTAAAGAACAATCTACCAGCATTGTAGAATTTCGCTTAAGTTGGCATACTCTTGCTCCTTTACCTCCAATCTTATTCAAAGTTATAAAATAAATATTATTTAATATATATAACCTAAAAAAAAAAATCAAAAGAGTAAAAAGAAAAGAATAAATATAATCAATAATGCACACTTTCAAATTCTCCCACACTTAACATTTGCTCATCTTTGGGACATGAATATAAGCCTAATACTAACTCTTCAATGATATCAAGATTGTAAAATCATATGTAAGAAAACAATCAAACTCTCAAGAATTATAAGATATCATAAATCAACATTCTTAACAAATTCAAAAATTAATCAATAAAGTAATTTTTATTTAAAAAGGAGTTAACTAAATTAATAGACTCTCACAGGGTAAACTCTCTAACTCTTTAGTATTTAAGATAAGTGTTTCACTCAAATTCATTTCATAAAAATATAGTATCACAAGCTTGCTTATTATCTAATATCCTCTACCCAAATCACATGTATAACATAAATCGAAAGACTTTTCTGCAGATTGTAAAGGGACTAAGGAAATAGAGAAGGAATTCTATCGATATGAGAGCGTTAAACTAAAGAAATTAATATAGGATTCAAAACATAAACTCAGGTAAAAATGGTCATGATAATTAACAATGTAAAGGTTATGATAACAAACAATTTACAGGTTTTGCAATAATTATTTGATTTTTTTAGAGCATATTGACAGAAAAATCGACTTCATTTCTAACTGTCAATTTATGAACTTTTAACGAAAAATCATTTGAAAATTAGAAGGTAAAAAAATGTAAGATTTTAAAAACCTAAAATGTAAAATAGCATTAGGGTGGAAATAATTAACTATTTCTATTATCTATTGTTGAAATTTAAAATCAAACTGTTTTATTTATGTATGTGCATAAAGTATTTTCCAATATTTTCGTACGAGATAGGTAATTACAATAAGTTTATTCAATTATCTCTTCATCTTAATTTCATCAAAATAATCAGTAATTAAGCATGGATAATTGCTGTTTACCTTTTTTTTTTCAAAAAAAAAAAAAAAAAAGAAGAAGGAAAAAGGCCGTGTTTTGTCGTAATAAAAAATTTTCGGCCGAAATCGAGTACAAACGCAAAAGAAAATGAAGTTCAGTGTTATAGTTTTGTTCTTGAATCCGAGTTATGGGGCCCGGTGGTTGAGTAGCAACAGTGAGTCGAGTATGCCCGAGTTCACTGGCTACAACGCTTATGATATCTTAAGAGTCTCGGAGAACAGCTCACTGGCTGAAATCAAAGCTTCTTTTCATAAATTAGCGAAAGAAACTCATCCTGACCTCGCTCATCACTCAAATGCGGTTAATTCACACCGTTTCATTCAAATCCTTGCGGCTTATGAGGTTTTTAGTCCTTACTCTTCATCTCTGCCTCTAATTGTTACTTTTTTTTTTTTAATTAATATTATTTCTTTGTTAAATTTGATAATTAGATGTTTCAATTTATTTTTATTGTATTATTTTTTCTTTTTTGAGTTATACTTTTTAATTCTTCCTCTTATGATAGTTGATAATTAGATGTTTCAAATCCTTACGACAGTTAATTTAAGCCCTTATGATAGTTGTAGAGTGATTTGTTAGAGAAATCATTTCAAGCTCTTATGATATTTGAGAATGATTTCTTGTAGAAATTATTTTAATTTTAATTTCAATTGCAGATTCTTTCGGACTCTGAAAAGAGGGCGCACTACGACAGTTATTTGTTATCTCAGAGAAAGACAAAGATAGTGATAGAGCCAGAACATTGTAGACAAGGTTCGACATTGCACACGTACGAATCGCGAATGACTACGAATGAAGAGATGGAAGTCGTCGAATGGTTGAAGTGGTATAGATTGGCTGTAAATGATATATTGTCTCAGAGAAAGGTGGTGGTTGGAACTGGTTATTTTGATGCACTTGAAGCTGATTTTTATTCAGCCATACGTGCAGCTTATTATGGGCCTGTAGTTGAGTCTATGGATTTTCTTCCTCCCCAGTTTGAGGCAGAGGAAAGGTCTGTCTATGAAACTCCTGAGGTTCTGCATTTGGTTTCAGGTCGTCATCTTTTTGGAATGGTGTGCCTGGCGGAAAAGATTCCTAAATTATCTTCTGCCTCTAAAAAATTAAAAAATGCATTTGCGTCTGATGGTTTGGGAGTCTGTCGATCTGTTGAGGATACATGCCTCTTGGACAATTTCAATGCAGCGGATGATGCTGAAATTTGTCAGATGGATGCTGGGAATAGTGTAAGTAATAAATCAGATGCATATGAAGATTTAGAATTGTATGTCTCTGGAAGGGTGGTCGCTATGGCAAGTAGAGTTCCTCCTAAAAACCAGTATGACGGAGTACAGAATGAAGATGCACAAGATCAGATACATGTTTTTCTTACCTTGAACGATAATTCTGTGTCTGTGGATGCTAGCAAAGGGGTTTACAAGGAATCTATTTTGACGGGTGCTGTTGGTGCAAGGATTCCACTAGGAACTATAAAGGGACTGCGCACCAGTCCTGAAGAGGGATCATGCTGTGTCTATGATTGCAGTAGTACCAAAACACATGTGATAATGAATCATAGGACATTGATGGTTTGTAATGTTATTCTCCTGTTTGTATCCTTTTTTCAATTTCATGATGCATAAGATGCAAATTGGGCTTATAGTCCTCCGCCTCTGTTTGATAATGCTAGTTTCATTTGCTGTTTGTTTTACATGAAATAACACAGAGTACCTGGCCCCTGCCTGATTGGTGTCTCTTGCAAAGACATCAAATACATACAACCCAACTCAAAGCTTCAATCCCAAACTAGTTGGGATTGGCTATTGTTGTCTCTTGCATACACCCCAAGTATTCTTCAAAACCAAACTGGGAATTGGAATGCAGTGAACGGAAGACCCTCTTCCTTGTGATGAAGACAAATTTGTCTTTGTTGCCATGTGCATCATCAATACTCTGAATACATTGATTCACTTTAATTTAATAGCTCCAATAGTACCATTCTATCATTGCAAGTCATTGCTTGATTTTTGTTTATTTTTTATTTTTTATTATTATCCAGATTCATTTACAAGCTGCAAAGATTTCTTGCCATAATTCATTAATTATTTTCTAGGCTATGCTGGTAGCTTGACTGAGCTTCTTTCATGAAGACGATTGATAGTTTTCAGACTTTTGTTGAACTGTAACTAATAGTTATTAAATCTCTTTGTCCTTGGGTGGTTTTCCATTTAATCCTTGCAGTAGGTGATTTTATTTATGTGGCAAAATAAGGGATGGCCATAGACGGGATGATAGATAATATAAGTCACTTTTTATTGTTGACCTTGCATGTCATTTTCAGTTAGAATATTCCATGTATGCCTATAGGGTTGTGTCTGTGTTAGTTAATCATATAGATTTTACTAATGAATGTTGTTAACGAAATTCAGGTGAAGCATATGCACTGGTATGGAGTAGGAGATAAAGTTTCTATTGGTGAGTGTCGATGCACCAGAGCCCAATTGCCACCGAGCAAGTGAGTAACTTCATTTCATTTTGTCCTACAATGATGAAGGAATTACTGTTGCCAACAGCCTATTTTCTCTCCATGTTATATATATATATAAATAAATATATATATATATATATATATATATATATATATTTAATTTGTTCTATGTGAATCGTTGCAACAGATTTTGGCTGTTTGAGCCTCGTTGTGACATGCACAACATAGGTGGTTGGTATGTTGAAACATTCGGTAGAGATAAGAGAGGTCGGACAGTTCCATCTCACAGGTATTGGGATGGCTTTGATGGAAATGAACAATATGGCAAGTAAGTACATGCCATGTGGCCTTACGAGAATTTGAGTTTTGTCATAGCTTCCCCTAACTTTGCATGATGTATCTTTGATAAGGTCAAAGGATTTAACTTCTATTATGTATGATCTTACTGGAAGTATTATGTAAAACTAGTGGGGTAGCTAGAAATTTTTGGAAGGTTTAAAAAGGTACTAGATTTGTTGATACTGGAAATGGCTCGAAAATAAAGTTGGAAATAACAACTTTTTATATTTCTTCGAATTTAGTGCTTTTTCTCCAAACCTCCTCTTATTACAAGTTGGCATTTTAATCTGTAGCTACATCTCATCTACTTGTTGCATTATGAATTGGAGAGAACACCCAAAAGCTTAAGAAAACTGAAAAAGGGGACAAAAGATAAAGCTTAGAAAAGTAAGTACCAAAATTCGAATCTAATGCCTCTAGCAAATTTGGGCCGTCCAAATTAATGCTACACCTACAAACAAATCATGCAAATATTCATAGAAACTGATGAGGCAATAATTCTTTTTATGTTTAACTGTTCATATAACATTTTTGGGACCTACAATTCATCACTGACCATTGCATTCGTTTGTATGGAATCCTAGTATGATGCGTTTGTAACAACGCATTTTTCGTCATTATGCTTTTATCAGTATGAAATACCACTTTAATTTAGCTTTGGTGGGGCATAAGATCGGAATTAATTGAAGACATTCACCTTTGCTTGCCACAAAGGATGTATATTCCACCTATGTAGTCTTATCCTGATATTAACTTAACTTATCATGAACAAATATTCCATATCTTCAAGCTAAGAATAAAAAATTATGTATTTTTTCCCATTGATTTGAATCCATTTGGAGATTTTAAGAACCGTATTGGTGTAGAACCACCAACAAAAACACAAATCAAGAGAATCAATTCTCTGGAAGAAAACCCAATTTATTATGATAATCAATATAAGGTTGAATTGGATATCTAGATAGAGTGCTTATTGATTGGCACAAAAATCAAATAAAATAGAAAAAGTAATAATAGTAGGAAAACCTTCCAAACAGTCCTATTTCTATTAGGAAACTAAATTGTCAAAAATAAACTCTTATGTTTCTTTCTAAAATATTGAGTCTTAAAAAACCTATCTTGCAATCCTGCATCTTATATTTTTGTTTTTTACATTGCAGAAGATTACATCCAGCGATGTATTTACTTGCTCTTGCATATAGAACTCTAGATATTGAAGATTCAAAAAGAAGGAAGCAGACAGTTAGGGATGTTGTTGAAAGCCGTCTATTTAGATTGCTCCACTGGTTCAAGAAACTTGTGTAGGAGTGACCTTGAGGACTTTGAGATTCAAGATTCAGAATCAGTTTCAACTCTCATGCTTCGTAAGCACATTGCTTGTGATGCTGACAACTGTGAGTTAGTGACTATACTATAGTATTAAATCAAGAAAGGCCCTTGCATCAGCTATATTTTCTGCAAGATGACTGAACATTTTGAAGAACAACTCTGTACAATTCTCAGGATGTCAAAGTTGTTTAATAGGGGAGCCATTTGGACGTTTGATCTCTGATGCTAAATACCATAGCTCTAGAATGATGGATTATTTATTTCTGTGATTGAAGAATGAGCTGTTAATTTTGCTCTGATATGGAATTGAGCAAGAGCTAGGTTGTGGTACCAGTAATTTCTTGAGAATCTATCATTGTATATCCTGCTATTGGAGATGACTTATTTGGCATACAGAGATATAGGGAAAATGGTCACCGCTGTGCTAGCTGGATTTATGAAGATTATTTAGATATCTTGGGGACATGCAAATTCTGTTTCGTCTGTACACCTATTCCCAGGGCCTATCAGCTGTACTTGATGTTCGTGAGATTGTTTGCATGCAATTTTCATCAGGCATGATGGAGAGAGGTGATTCTGTGGATCTTGAACTCCTCTTGGCTACATTTTATGTGAGTGAGTGAATTCTTCAAAACTTTTTCTTTTATGTGGTGAATGGAATTCTTCTGAGCCTATTCCATGTGTCCTGCTATCAAAGATGGCCTTAGTGGTGTATGGAGAAACTATTTTCCCTTAGTTCTGGAGCTAAAGTGGATTTATGAAGAACAGTGTGTAGATGGCATGGGTGGATACATGTTAGTTTTCTCTATTTTTCTATTCTGAAGTGTATCTGTCTGTACTATATTTTCTTGAAGTTATTCTGAGGCTTTGTTCATCAAGCATGTTAAGTATGATATTGAGCAAATTACTAACTTCATCATTTCTATAGATAGATCACACATATACGATATAGTTCGAATTCCAATCACAAGAACTAGGGATTCAATTGCAGGATGCTTAAGAAATTGGAGTTAAACAAGTAAATCGATTGGAATAATTCTAGGTTTATGCAATTATATTCAAGTAAAACAAAGTACCAGAAATTATTCTACCATGAATCGCACGAATTATCAAGAAAGTTACAAGAAAACCTTAAGAAATTTGTGGAAAAACGTAATATGTGGGAAATATTCTTTGCTATTTTAGGAAGGTCTTGTAATCATAGAAAATCAGGTTTGATTTCCTATATTATCATTTTCCTGATTTTTTGTTTTATTATTTCCTTCCTATTCTGGTGTATTTAGTCCCCTATAAAAGGAAGAGTCCTCCTCCATTGTAAACATAATAGACACATAATAAAATAAAGAAAGATCTCCTCTTGTGGAGGTAGGTCTTATGATCGAACCACGTTAACCTTTGTGTTTTCCTTCTTTCTCTTCTCTAAAATTCAACATGGTATCGGGACTCGGTTCTTTTTAGGATAGAAACCTGAATGGTTATCAGCCTTTATTGCTTGGTGTTTTTTTTTTTAACTAACCTTCATTGGTACCAGCCTACTTTGCTGGTGGTTTTTTGTGATTGAACTGTTACCGGGTTTCCTTATTGGTGTTTTTGTTACATGTAAAAGGCCTTCATTTCTTAGTTTTTTAGAAATAAAGGGATATGTCAAAGGACGAAGAAACAACGATGACGACCTAATCGGAGAAGGCTATCCGATCTTAACAACCCAGGGAACCCCAAAGCATTCAGATTGAATGGAAGAAATTACCTCAAGTAGTCCTAACTTGTTCGTAAAGTGCTCGAAAGGAAGAGGAAAGATCGGCCATCTTACCGGTATAGGACCTAAACCGGGTGATCCTCGATTTGAAGCACGCGATGAAGAGGATTTCACATCGGTGACATATGTATGTTCTTGGCTTCGCCAAAGAGATTTGGGAGGCAATAGAATAGACCTACTCTAAAGCTAAGGATGCGGCTCAAGTTTATGAGGTCAAAGTGAAGATTGGCTGAAAAACGGGAAAGTAAATATGTTACCGAGTATGCTAATCGGTTAAAATCCTTGTGGCAAGAACTCGATCATTATCGGGTGATAAAAACTAAATTTCCTAATGATGCGAGCAGTTTTAAAAGGTTTTACCGAGCAAGATAGAGTTTATGATTTTCATGTTGGTCTTAATCAAGATTTTGATCGGGTGAAGGTCTATATTCTTGGCAAGCCGGACGTTCCATGTTTTAATAAAGTGGTAGCTTTAATTCGAAGTGAAGAAAGTAGGAGAAGTTTGATGCTTAAATCATAGGCCATGGACAGCTCAAGCAATGGTGGCCGGTGATAGCAACAAATTTGCCATAAAAGCAAAAAAGCACAATTTCTTGAAGGTGGACAGCCTAGTCAATCAAAGGCTCAAAGTCGTGACAACTCGTGGTGCACCTATTACAAGAAGGCATGACATACTTGTGAAAAGTGTTGGAAGCTTCATGGAAAGCTTCCAAGTAGAGAATGGGGACGAAAAAGGAGTAACCAAATGGCAATGGGTAGGCTTATGTTACTACAGTTCAACTAAGTGAACAACTACCACATGAGACAAATAGTCTTAACCAATAGGAAATTGATAGGTTGAGATCTCTTATTAATAGTCTTGGAAAACCTTCGAGTACTTGTTCTTTGGCATATTCGGGTAAGTTTTCATTCTCTATTGGGTTAAATATCTCGAGAACAACATTTGCTAACTCCCGAGTCATAGACTCGAGAGCTACTAACCACATGACTCACTCACCAAATATTTTTACCACCTATTCTCCATGTCCAAGCGGTAGAGAAAATAACCACTATTGATGGGGCTTTAACCATAGTAGCGAGGTGTAGGAGATGCCCAAATAAGTCCATCCCCGATTCTGAAAAATGTCCTTTATGTCCCTAGATTATCTATAAACCTTATATCTATAAACAAACTCACTCAATATTTACATTGCAAAGTATTTTTAATCCTAGTTATTGTGTATTTCGGGACAAGGATTTGGGGAAGATGATTGGAAATGCTACGGAACAGGATGGCCTCTACTACCTTGAAACACCAAGTCAGTCGAACATTATAAAAGGTAGATTATCTCATTCCTTCATTTCAGAAATTCTTTCATCCAATAAAGAGAAAGTTCAGCTTCACCATCGTTGACTTGGACATCCATCATTTAGGGTTATTAAAAATTTGTTTCCCTCTTTGTTTAAAGGCCTAAATGTTGAAAACTTTCATTGTGAAGTATGTGAGCTTACTAAACACAAATGTACATCTTTTTTCAGTTAGTACTAATAGAAGTTATGTTCTTTTTATCTCATTCATAGTGATATTTAGGGTCCATGTACTATTCCTAATGTTTTTGGAGCAAAATAGTTTGTCATTTATTGATGATTGCACTCGTGTTACTTGAATTTTTTTGCTCAAACATAAATATGATATTAGTACTTGTTCTCCCAAATTTTTGTTCCATGGTTAAAAACCAATTCAAAGTTAGCATCAAAAGGTTTAGGTCAAATAATGCTAGTGTCTATACCCCATATTTTAATCAAATCCTAACTCCATATTTTAAGAAAGAAGGAATAATACACAAGTCATCTTGTGTCTATACCCCACAACAAAATGGAGTAGCTAAAGGAAATAATGGTCACCTCTTCGAAACAACTTGAGCTTTATTATTCCAAAACCATGTGCCTAAATTTTCTAGGTGGAAGCTATTCTTATGGCTAGTCATCTCATAAACTATTTACCTTCTAAGGTATTAGGGTTTAAAAGTCCAATGGAAGTACTCTCAACCTTCTACCCTAACCTCCATACTACAAATAACCTTATCCCTAAAATTTTTAGGTATGTGTCATTCATCGATGTCCATAGTCCAAATAGGAGGAAACTGGATCTAGGGGCAATAAAATATATCTTTGTAGGTTACTTTTCTAATTAAAAGTGGTATAAATGCTATGATCCTCCGTCTAAAAAGTTATATGCTTCGAGTAGACGTAACTTTCATTAAACAAGAGTCTTATTTTACCACTCCTTATCTTTTGGGGAGCATTTTGCCATGGAAGATAAGGAATTTTTTCTAGCATCCCTTCCCATGTCTAACTCGTCTCTTAAAAAGCCTATTTCACCATCCATTTCTGAAAATTCTCCTAGATATCCTCCCGAACCCATTCCTTAAGAAAAAAATCTACTCTACTCTTGAAAATGTGAAATTTAGCAAAGGAAAAGTGTTCATAAAGAAGAAGATGGGTGCTCCCGAATCCAGATAAGTCTAAGAATCCAACCCAAGTCTTTAGAATGAGTTAACGAGTTTCTAATCCCTTATTGCATAATGAATCCGGATCTCATGAGGGGATTGATGACCAGGACCTTCCCATTGTTATTAGGAAAGGAACAAGAGACTACACCAAACAACCTTTATACCCTCTTACACACTTCTTGTCCTTTAAGAATTTTTCACCATCGCATAAAGCCTTCCTTATTAGTTTAAATACCATTACCATCCCAACCACCTTATTCGAGGCTTTGTCCAATGAGAAATGGAAACAAACTATGACTCGTGAAGATGGAAGCATTGGAAAAAAAATAAGACTTGGGAGTTGGTGAAGTTGTCGGCTATAAAGAAACTTGTGGAGTGCAAATGGATGTATACGAGTGAAGTATAGAGCAAATAGGTCCATAGAAAGATACAAGACAACGTTGGTAGCCAAGGGGTATACTCAAAACTATGAAATTGACGATCAAGAAACTCCGTCCTCCCGTTGCAAAGATGAACAGTATTTGAGTTTTGTTGTCATTAGTAGCTATTATGGTTGGGATTTACAACAATTTGATGTTAAGAATGCATTCTTGCATGGAGAATTAGAGGAAGAAATCTATGTGGAGGTTCCACCTAGTTATAGGAAGAACTTGGTTGCTAATACCGTGTATCGATTGAAGAAAGCCTTGTATGGCCTAAAGCAATCATCACGAGCATGGTTTGGGAGATTTGCTAAAGTTATGATAGCTATAGGATATAGAAAAAGCCAAAGGGATCATATGTTGTTCATTACACACTCACCTTCGGGGGAGTTCTAATTCTCTTGGTTTATGTTGATGACATAATAGTGACAGGAGATGATGACAACGAGAGATAGATCCTAAGCCAATGTTTAGCTAAGAAATTTGAGATCAAATCATTAGAGAGGTTAAAATATTTTCTCGGGATCGAGGTTGCTCACTCTAGGTAGCATATGTTTATCTCTCAACAAAAGTATGTTATAGATCTTCTCAAAGACACAAACAAGATAGCATGCAAACTAGTAAGTACCCCAATAGATCCAAATCCTAAACTTGGAAAGGTTGAAGAGGATGTTATAGTGGATAAGGATATGTACCAACGATTGGTAGGAATACTCATATATCTATCTCACAGGGCGTCCGGATATAGCATATGTTGTTAGTGTGATTAGTCAATTTATGCATAACCCAAAGAAAGTTCATTTACATGCAACTCACCAAAGGTTACAAGTACCTCGAGGGAACACTAGGGAAAAGTATTAGGTTTAGACAGAATGGAGTTTTAGCACTTGAGGCATACACGGATGTTAATTATGCTAGGTCAATTGTTGATAGAAGGTCAATTATTAGATATTGCACCTTTCTTGGTGAAAATCTTATGACATGGAGGAGTAAAAAACGGAATGAAGTCGAACGGTCTAGTGCGAGAGGTAGAATTCCGAGCAATGGCTCAAGGAGTGTGTGAACTACCGTGGTTAAAGATCATTCTAAAAGACTTGAATGTTAGTTTGGATGGTTCGATGAGACTTTATTGTGACAACAAGTACAATTAGTATAGCCCATAACTTGATACACCATGATCAAACAAAACACATCAAAATTGATAGACACTTTAACAAAGAGAAGTTGGAGAGCGATCTGATTTGTATCCCTTATGTGTCTACACATGGTTAACTTGTCGACGTGCTTACTAAAAGGTTAAATAGCTTAGTGTTTTTAAGTATTGTATCCAAGCTTGGAATGGAGAACACCTATTCATCAGCTTGAGGGGGAATGTGGGAGAAAGTAATATGTGGGGAATATTCTTTGCTATTTTAGGAAGATCTTATAATCACGTAAAATCAAACCTAATTTTCTATCCTATTATCTTCCTAATTTTATACCCTATTATTTCCTTCCTATTATGGTGTATTTGATCCCCTATAAAAGGAAGATTCCTCCTCTATTGTAATCATAACGGACACATAATAAAATGAAGAAAGATCTCCTATTGTGGATCTAGGTCTTATGACCGAACCACGTTAACCCTTGTGTTTTCCTTCTTTCTTTTCTCTAAAATTCAACAAAATTCCATAGAGATACAGAGAGAAGAATACCTCAAATGCCAAGAATGGCTCAATATTTTTCCCCTTTTGACTTTACTAACAATCTTCACAAGTGCAAACTTCTTCACATGAGCCACACTACCTGATCAATTGTTGACTTGTTGACCATCCTAACTTCGTTTTAGCCCTCTATCTTTGATAATTCTATAGCAAAAGTCCTTGCAACTCTTTCAATTCTATTAGTTTCACCTCCCATGTTAACAACTGCATCAATATGCTTTGGTAGTTTATTTGAGTATAGGTCATAGATGGTGGCTCATCAAGGAAAATTGATGGTATCTTGGTAGTGTGCCGAATGTAACAAATTATTTAATTCCTTACGCCTAAGTATTGATCTGTAAATAAGGCGAACAAAGATCAATCCTATAGAGAATTGTTTCAATCAACTTATTTTTAAATTAGGCTGTATTAAAATAGATGGGAAGGAAATAATTCCTTACTCCTAAATTCTAATCCGTAGATAGGACAATCAAAAGTCGATCCCATAGAAAATTGATTTGTTCAACTTATTTTTAAATTAGTTTGTATTAAAACAGATGGGAAGGGAGGAGTTTTGAATAACTAATCACTAACTGAAATGAACTGAAACAATTAGAAAAATAACTCAGATTTTTGTTCAGTCTCCACCCTTACACTCAATGAATGCAACCAACAAATACGTTGTTCTAACTCTCATATGAAATTAGAGACCCTAGGTAAAACAAGTTCTATTACCTGAAATCTCCTTAGATAGTTACTAATGAAACAATTTCTTCACTAGATACTAACTGTTGGACAACGTAGAATAAGCTCTTTAGATTAGGATAGTTTAAGCAACAATCGCACAAGCTTAGATCGTTCAACTTAAGTTGTGTTAGTAGTAGTTAAAAAAAGGGGAAAAAAAAATTTGTCCATAATCATCTACCATTATTTGCTACTCGTTGATTAAAAATTGGACAATTACGTAGCAAAATCTTCAATTCTAGCCATTGAATTCTATTCTATTTAATCTAGCAGGCTTTATCTAAATTAAACAAATAAATATATAAACAATTAATTTAGAATAACACACAATTTCATATAAAAGTTGAGAAGAACTTATTGACGTTTGATTAATCCATTGATAAGTTATTGGGCTTTAAAATCACCTTAAGTTGAAGAAAAGAATTAGTGTGACATAATGTAAAGCACAAACCATAAAAACAAAAGAAAGTTTCAGCCTTTTTTTTTTTTTGAATGAATGCGTAACCTCTTTGGAATAACCCTAGCAATTATTTATACATGTGAATTGATAAATATGATAGCCAATAAATCCTATCTCATTGGCTTAATTTCCAAAACTAATAGGACTTGCTGGTTGAGATTTCAGATTCTGCGTTGGAACTCGCAAGCTAATTTCAGATCAGGTGGCAGCAGATTTTGGACTTGAGCTCTTCATGAAAGTTATAAACTAGATGTCTTCTTTTTGTGGGCTTTTGAATCACTTCAATCTAACGTCTAGAACTTGAGATGTGACCTGAATACTGATTAGTGCTTTGAGTTGTGATAAAATCTGATTTTCTGACCTGACTTTGGGACAAAGACTTTGAAAGCACAAACTAACTTGGATTTAGGTGTTTAAATCTAACTTGAAAAATTTAATATGTCCACTTTAAATCTCAAAAGACCTCTTCCATCTTCTGGAACTCATAAAATGTGAAATTTCCATATTTTTCTCTAAAAATCAATTTATTAGCATTATGAAAATTCACATAAATTAGCACACTTTTGCTTCTTGGTTCCATTCTTTTCGTAAATCATAAAATAAACATTATTGTGTACATATATCCAAAAAACATATTTAAAAGACTAAATATAAAAGAATCAATAAAATGCAATAATGCCCACCATCATAATTCAAGATCAGTGCATCTGCATAATTGTAGGCATGAGTTTGCTTACTTGACTCGTGGTAGTGTGTATCTGATGTCATTATTAGCCTGCATGCCTTAACACTTAGCTGCATTTGCTTGCCTTTTTAAATTTTCTAATCTAATGGTAATCAGTAAATTGGATTGTCCTGCATGAAGTTGATCTCTGTGTGGAGTGCCTGATGTTCCCAAGACTTCATTGTTCCAATTTTTGAAAGTACAATTGTCTCCTTGAAGGTTACCACATAAAACTATAAAAATAAAAATTCTTATTTCAGTAACGTTACAAAATTATTTCCATAACCCGTGTCCTTTTCCTCATCGGTTAAGCAGGTCTTCCCATTTGCAATACTGGCCACCTGCTAATGCACGATAATATCTGTCTCTGCAGTAGACTGGTCTTCCATCAGCAGCCTTAGCAGCGGCGGCTGCCAAATCATCATCAGCCATCACCTCCACAGGCAATCTAAGCAACTCCTCCTTTCTAAAATATGCACAAGAAATTATAAGAAAGTAAATTAAGTTCACATGCCATGGCAGCTGGATTCTCTAGACTTGTGCTCGTACCTCACGTTGGACTTTGTGTTGATCTCTGAAGCTTGATCAATTGCCGGGTTCTCTTTTGTGGAAAAAATCGTTTGAAAGAAATCTTCTACTGGTGTAGCATAGACAAATAGCATTACCGCTGCCACGAGCAATGCTCCTGTTCCAACGAGTGTTTGTTTTAACATCTTGATGACTGGTTTAACCTAGGGGAATGAAGGTTCAGTATGAATCTCTTTTGAATTTGAAAATTTCAGAGCTATATTATGTGCCAGTTTGTATTTTGAAAAGACAATGAATAAAATCATCTACAGTCCACACCATTGTTACATTGGTGTTTGATTCCTTGGCAGTGAGTATTGTGTAGTTTCTTGTGCTTGTGCATTCATTCTTGTGTGTTTTGTCTGGCTTTGGATGCAGTAACACCCACTAATTCACATCTGTGCAACTCCATTTATGCATGCATGTGCAGAGTTTTGCATGATCTTTTCGTTTCATCAAAGCCTTTTATTTTTAATATGTGCATCTGTCTTCGTTGTTCTGCATTTCATTTAGTTTGGTAGAAAACTTGTCATTGTTAAAATTTTATCTGCAAGTAACATCCTGAATTGAATATATGATATGAAATTCTTACCTTGTAAGAGCCCAACAGTCTATCACGAGCCAGGACCTGCATGGGAGAAAAGAATTATTAATTCAAGTGTTATCCTGATGTGCAGAGATATTATCTGCAAGTGCCTGTTTTCGAGAGCATGCAAAGCAGAATTAAAAACTCCTGTTGATACATGTCCTCCCTAGTTCTGCAGACTACCAAGTGAAAAACTCTGGTTGGACATTTAATAGTTATTAGTTGTTTTGACTTTTACTATGGGATTGTAACATTTTACGTCTTGATGTTTGTTCACAGTTTGAACTTTGAGACCGTGCAATTGAGCTATCCCCATCATTGTTGTGCTTTGTTAATCTATGCTTTTACTTCTCCGCATTCTTGTAAATTAACGAACGGTCGCTTGTTATTGTATATGATATTTTTATACTCTAATGCTGCTTCTTTTGATATATTCATCATGTGCGGCAATCTAATAGTTTCCTTTCATGAGTTATGAGCTTATATGATACTTTGACCCTTTTTAGCCCCAGGAAATGCATGGTTTTGCATCAATTCTGTTAATGTAATGTCGCTTCAGGTATCAAATAAGGAGCTTTTGCACTTCATGAGCATGCACACGTGCTAGAAACATCTTTGACAATCAAGAAAATTCGTGAAATAGTACGTTGTTAGCAGAATTGATTCCTTTTTTTTTTTTTTTCCTTCTTTTTCACAATCCCTCCACTTATATGTGCCCTTCAAGCCCTTGGCTGTCTTTCAACCTTTTCTCTATGAATCTAAGTCACCCTTGAAGATGGTTAACCACAACCCCAGCCCCACCCTCCCACCCCCGATATACAGTGTTTTTCATTCCTCATACAATCTAGTTGACCAATTTCGTGTTAGAAAATTATCCCCTCCATATGCTTCCTATCCTTTTAATGGACTAGAGCTAAGAATTCGTTGAATTCTTTGTCCTAAAGGTTTCATCAGCATTTTCTGCACGCATGCAGATGCATGCCCCCCAGACCCTCAGACACAAAGACGCACTTATATAGATAGATGAATAGATAGATAGAGAGAGAGAGATGCTAACCTCTGGTGGCTTTACCCACATTTGTCCATCATACCATCCACTCTCTTCATATGGGATCACAGCTGATAGAAGTCTGTCACCAATATAACTCCATCCCTGTGATATGCACATTAAGATTTGGCAATTTCCAAGGGATTACTTCAGAAAAATACAAGAATTGTTGGTTAGTTTAATGTTAAAATGGGAATAACTAAAAACGGTGCAATTTGAATGCTAAATAGTTTGGATTATACCTCTTGTATGTCCTAAATATTGATGGTTTGGTTATGCATTTACTTGGTGCTATGAGGTAGTTCGATATTAGGACAACTAGAGAAAAGATAAGGTCAAATGTTCTAAATATTTTTAAATACTTAGCAGTGGTATGTTTCTAACGTTTTGAGTTGGTAAAACCTTTTTACTGCCAGAGTCAATTGTCTGAATAAACCATGGGCGAACAGGTTTCGAACTGTGCTTCACAACTGTTAACACAAATTAATGCTACCACTTTATGATTGTTTGATAAGAAACCACTAATTCACGATAAATCCCCTTCTGCTTATGCAGTTAACTTCGTGCAGAATCACTTTGCCTCCAGCCTTCATCCGGATCAACTGAACAAAAATATGTGTGGTGGAAGCTTTAAGAACATGGCTTTTCCAGTTGAGGAGCACCTTTCAGAACATATCTTTTCGGCTAAAATACATTCAGCAAGGAAGGGACCACAAACTGGTTTTCTGGTAGGTTTCTCAGAGTTATTTACCCCAGTATTTTCCATCATCACAACTAGTCAAATATTTAATTTTATTCCTATATTTATGAAGTATTGTCTTAGCAATTATTCTCACGTAGGTTAGATCTCAAGAGTTATTATTCCACGACTATACTGATTGTCTTCAGGATTGTGATGAGCATGACGTGATGATGATGATGATGAAAGAAGATGAAGTTGATACCAGATATATTCTTAAAACGATCAATGACACAAGGAATAGAGTTCCGGTTCCAGCAGCTAGCGCAAATCTTAATGGTTCCTGCAAGATTGGAAAACTGAATGAAGCTGTAATATTCAAACAGTGAAAGTCTTTCTGCAAGTCAAATATGTCTAGCTTATATCTATATCCGTTCTGATTTTCTGAGATATGTGATTCTTCTTGTCTCTATCATTTTCTGTCTATGCCCTTCCGTCAGGCAGCTTGGCTTCTTGGGCTAAGGCTAATAATAGGTATGGGTAGAGAAGAGGATAGAAAGAGAGGACAGGAAGAGAGAGGAAGTGCCCGAAAAGACCTTGCCTAGTTTCGAAAGCAAAAGGCTCAGAGACAAGCTGCTCTGTTTCCGTGTGCTTCAGTATTTTTTCAGTAACTTAAAAGACTTTAGTTTTTGGACCTATGGTGAGATAACTGTCTTCTATTCTGACCCGGATGTTGTTTCATCAATATTTTTTGGAAAGATGGTCGGAATTTTAAACTTACCGTGGAAGGATTGAAACTTGCCGCTGCAATTGGAACTCCAAGAACTGTGAAGTTCACTAACCAGAGTCCACCAAGACGAAGGAAAAAGGGTCCTGGACCCAGTTCACCCCAAGAATACAAAGGTCCATCTTTCAGAGATGAGTACTCGTTCACCTGTTTCAGAATTGGGGCCACTGTAAGTATGAATATGTCATGTATAATATGCAGGAGATGGTTTACTTGGTACATGCATATCTATGGGTGTGCATGTGCAGCATACATACATTTGTTTTTTGCAAGAAAATCATGCATTACTTCGAAATCTTTATACAACGCCAAGATATGGAGTCGCATAAAGCAGTTGCGAAACTTACCGGCCTTTGTTCAAAAGGGACCTCAATTTCCAAGCCAGGCTCCCAGCTCCGGCCTGGGAAGCTGCTTGTACCCCCATTAGTCTCATCTTTCAAAGCTTTCACAGAAACCAACGGTAATGGTTTCTGAGCTCTATGGTATCTAATGATCCATGATTTATAGCTGGCTCCAAGTTTGGCTTGTCTTGGACTAGGAATTAGAAAGCAGTACACATTTAGCCTGAGCATTTAGTTTCAGGTTGTTAAACTAACAGTTGGCAGGTGCAGCAACCAAATTCTGCTTTAGGTGCTATATTTTTCAGTGGAGGGAGAGAACTATTTAGTCAAAGGGAAGTTTGCGTTTCTACTTCAGGGACCATGGATTATTTACGTGGAGGAAAACAAGGGATACGTCGTTTTATCAACTTCTTTGTTGCCATGCGGGACAAAACGGGTGACGACGAATCAAAATTTGGCATTGTCTTGGTGACCCAAATAGATTGCTAATGTGTTCATGCCATCTTATTTACGTGGCTTTGTTTAATTCCACTTATTGGTAGGCGAGCATCCAATGTGAGATTTTTCCGTGTGGTTGGAGAGAGGCATCCTCTACCTTGCACGCAATTGTCTGTTGTAATTCTCATGTTTCCACGGGCACAGTCTGCTTTTTCTAATCCCATAATTAATAGCCCTCATCAGCTAGATCATCTTTCCTTTGTACAACTGAACTAGATCCGAAGAAACAGCCTTTGATAGAACTAATAATCACTGTCCACCATTAATGTGGCATAAAATATGAAGAGCACAATGTCATCCACTTGATTTTTCCCCTTTTCTAAATTAAACCAAATCAGCCTTCTCCTACACCTAGTTGTCAAGCATGAAAGACACAAAAAATATATAAAAGTTTTTTATATTACTCTCTCTAAAGCTTACAATTCTAGGATTATACTTTCTTAGATTTCTGGATGTTTTGGCTAAATGAAAGTCTCATCTATTTATAGTTCTCCACCTCTTCAATGGATAGCTAAAATCTGTTTAACTAATGGCTGTAATTGATTATCTAAAATTATTCTATCTAGATATTTATAAGGAACTATTTAAATACGTACAAGCTAGAATAATGAACGACTATAATTTTCTAAGACATGTCTAGATTTTTCTTGAACATTTTAGAAGCTTCTCCATTGCTCGTAATCTTCAGATGCTTCCAAACTTATCTAGCGTTCCCAATAGCGTCTAGAAAAATCTCTTTTGAGCTAGGCTTAACATTCTTAAGTAGTGCTATTTTGGGAACTCCGCCAAGAGGTCCTTTCTCTCACGCCCCTAGCCTAATTTGGTGACTTCCTTGGTGCACATTTATATACTCTTCAACCTTTCGTGCGAATCGCAACGGGGTTTTAGCAGATTCCTAGCTAGCCTCACTTTTTGATAATCCCTTCCATTTCACATAATACTCCTTTGGTGGCACTCCATGACGTTCGATTGTACAGATCATCAAGTATGACATCAACTTCTTTATCATACAAGTTAACCACTACTATTGGCGTCTTATGAGAAACTCCTCGACTTGGATCCTTCTCATCAGCATGGTATGGCTTTAACATACTAACATGAAGCATCGGATACATCTTTAGCTTCGGTGGCAACTCTAAGCAATAGGACAACTCTCCCACCTCGTGTATTTGTTAAGGTGGGAAAGGTTGCTTCTTGTCATCTTTTAGCTAATGAATACATCGTAGGGTTGCTTCCTTAGTACTTGTCACCAAGCACCATCAGTATGTGCATTGAGAGGTCATTGCCTGCCATGATCTCGAATAGACTCTCGTCAATAGACTCACTCTTTTATAAGTTATAAGAGAATTAGGCAATATCTAGCAACTTAGCCTAATCTCATTAGTTGGCACTCACAAAGTGCTTCAAATATGTCTCTAACAAAGCATTGACCCTCTTAGTCCGTCCATCCGTACGAGTGCTTGGTAACTCGAATAGCTCGATCCATAGCTTCTCGTAAATCAAGAATCTTGATAATTGATTATATATTACGGCATGCCCCAATACTTCACTACATGCTCGAAGAGCGAGCTTAGAGTTGTTCTCAATCGTCACATCCGATAAGTGCTAGTATGAAAGTGGTATACTTGGAGAACTTGTCCACGACTACGATACTACTCCCAAAGTTCTTCCATTTCAGCAAAGCCATTATGTAATCCATGGTGATTATCTCCTATGGCCTCTTTATGGTAGACAAAGGGTATAATAGACCCTTAAGGACTCGCTTTTCAACCTTGTCTTGCTAGCACATCGTGCATGTTCTCATATAGGACTTCACATCATCACGTAGCTACAGTAAAAAATATGCTCCCTCCAAGTAAGGCTCTAAGTGCACGATTATACTCGGATGTCCAGCCCATATCGAGTCATGGCATTCCTTCATTAAATCTTGTTGGAGGTTTCCCCACTTAGGCATATAAATTCTCCTCCTTTTCATGTAGAGAATGCCATCCTCCACCTAAAATCTCTAAGTATTGCCATCCCTTACAAGTGGCTAATAAACTCTTGGTGGTGGAATCATGCTTTATTTTTTTCTTAATTCGGCCATGATCTCCCCATCCATTTTTTTCATATGATGCAACTAAATTTTCTACTAAGTGTATCGACCATCACATTAGTCTTGCCTACTTGTACTCAAAGACATTGTCAAATTCGATAAGAAAGTCTTACCATCGAGCCTATTTTGGTGTTAACTTCTTTTGAGTTTGGAAGTAATTTGTGACTACATTATCCGTCTTTAGCATAAATCAAGACCCTAACAAGTAGTGCCTTTAAGTATGCAAGTAATAGACCGCTATGGTTATCTCTTTCTCTTGCATCGACTATCGACATTTAGCGTCATTTAGCTTTTTACTTTCGTAAGAAATAAGATGTTATTCTTGCATTAACACACCACTTATGGAAAAATCAAAAGCATTAGTGTGTACCTTATATGGCTTGGTTGGGTCTACCAAGCTTAACATCGACTCTTCGATGAAAGTATGCTTCAGTTCCTCGAGAGCTTCTTAACACTATTCACCCCACTCCTATCTCTTGTTTTTCTTTAACAAATCCGTGAGAAAGGTAGCCTTCTTCGATTAGTCGTGAATGAAACGATGATAGTGATTGACAAACTCAAGAAAAGATCGAAGCTCGAGTACTTTGGTTGGCTCTTCGCCATTCTAAGATAGCTTTGATTTTGACCTTATCCATCATTAACCTTCCTTCCTTAATGTTATGCCCCGGGAAAAGTACTTTCTCTTTTATAAAAGTGCACTTCTTCTTTTTGACATATACTTTATTCTCCCTTAGTATCATGAATATAGTATGTAAGTGGTCTAGATGCTCCTCCAACGTAAAGCTATAAACCACGATGTCATCAAAATATTCAACTATGAACCGATCCAAGTACAACTGAAATAACTTATTCATTAAGGTGTAGAAGGTAGTCGAGACATTCATCAAGTCAAATGGCATAATAAGGAACTCATAGGAACCATACCTTATCATACACGCCGTCTTTGGCACATCTTCAACGACAATCCAAACTTGGTAATACTCTAATCTTAAATCAAGCTTGATGTAGAATAGAACGTTTCCCAATTGATTAAATAAGTCAACTATCAATGGAATTGAATACTTATTTTTCATCATGACATTGTTCAATTCTCAATAGTCCACAAAAATTCTCAATGATCCACGTGCTTCTTTTGGAATAACTCAAGCGAGTCATAAGTGACTTGGAGGGTTGTATTTATCCGACCTCCAACATAGTCTTTAATTACTTAATTTCTTTAACTTAGGAGGGGCCATATAATAAAGTGATATGGCTGGCAGCTTGGCACTCGATACTAACTTTATTTGTGGATCAATCTCTCTTCAGGTGGTAACTTCTGGGCAACTCCGGTGGCATCGCGTCATCAAATTTGACCAACACATTAGTAATCTCAATCTCTTTGAGTATCTCTACACCCTTATTGTTCATCAACCCATATTCTCTCAACATTGCTAAGTAGGTGACTTTCCTTTTCTTAAAACCCTTCTTTACTTATATAGTCGAGAGATGCTTCAAGTCCGATCTAGCATGCACTTTGGCCGATACCATGTATGGCATTTCTTCCTTCATAATCAACATTTGCTCCAAGTGAGGTGTAGGTATGACTTTCTCTTGTTTGAAGAAATTCATGCCTAGCATAACCTCGAAGTCATCTATCGTGACAACTATGAAATTTAGCACCCCTTCCATGTGCTTATGCCAAGGCTTACCTCATGTGTTACACCATAAGTGGGCTTAGGGGAGGCATTTACCATCTTCATGCTAATGAATGACTTGGGTCATCACTAAACCAAGTCTTTTAGCCTCATCCTTAGCCATGAAATTATGTGTGGCATCGATGTCTCAGCATCACAAGTATAGCCTTGCCATTCACATCCATATCTATATACATTAGCCCATTTTTTGGTGACACCTCGAGTGAGGGCTTGATATTCAAGGCATTGAAAAGTCGCAACGATCCCATCTCGTTTTTCATGCTTGAGAGCAAATTTCTTTTCCTCCATCAAGGCATTGATGGCTTACTACTTTAGGCACTCTCTTCATTGATACGAACCATTACAAAAGTAGTAATCCTTAGGTTTGAATTCACTCTTTTCGTACTCTTTGATAAAGTCTTTGGATTTTTGTTCTTTATCTTGTTCGTCTTTATACCTCTTCTTTTGTATACTCCCCACCTTTGCCCTCGAAGTCTTTCTTAGGTTTAGAGGGTTCTACATTCTATTTATACTCGATTAGGAATTCAACTATGGCCACGGCTTTAGTAAAGGTCTTAGATCGTCGACCTCGTACCTCTTGTTATGCTCATAGTTGAAGTCTTTTAATAAAATCATACATATGATCATAGTTGAGTTTACCATATACCTAATGTTTAAGAAAAAAATATTCTTAAACATACTCGAGAATAGTTCTCATATGATCTAATGTTCGTAGCTTATCCTATGCTTCCTAATCTACTTTCTCGGGGTAGAATTAGGCATACATAGCTTCTTTGAATTTGTTCCAACTAAACGACTCTTGATTCCACTCTTTAAGCTCTTGGTGCTTCATACATCCCAATAAAGCAAGCATCCTCTCGTAAGGTAAAGAGTAGCAATCGTGATGTGACTTTTATCCTTGCCCAAACCTACTATGTCAAAATATTGCTTCACTTGCAAAAAGA